TTGGATCTTTCTAAAGCTATTGCATATACACCAACGTTTTTATGGACCTTGCTTATGAAAGCTATTGTAGAGGCAGGAAAAGGAGCCAACTGTACATTTATTCATCATTCAGTCCTGGTGATTATCAAGGTGGTATCACAGTAAAGATTCCACTAATGAGACTTAATTCATCCACTGTGGCGACTGACAGAGGGCTTGAAAGATCCATCAAAGATCAAATAGCTCTGTGATTAGGCCTATGAAAATCAAAAACAATACCTGATTTAAATTTGGCTGATCTCACATTGAAGGTTATCCTTTTCTGCTCCACTGGACCATTTTCAGTGTGGCTGCTATTTTTACATCTCTCAGTAGAGCCCCATCATGTACCCTTGTACTTGTGCCTCTGTGATGGGTGCCGGATTTTCCAGTGTGGCAAAAAAGTAATCCTTCAAATAAATTTTCATTTTTGGGAAGTGAAGTCAAGAGGTAGCAAATATGGTGAGTGGGCCAGTGATGATGATGCAAAGACTATAGGCCAAAAAAACAAACAAATTAAAAATTACCTGCACGGTCTCCTTCAAATGCCATCAGCCTTTACATTAGAATCCAGTACTAACAGCTTCAGTCTGGGGAACCAGACTGGGAATCCAGTATCATTGAATACTGGAAGAAAAAACTGATGAGCAGAGTCCTGTTCTTACTCTTTGCCCAGCATTTCATCTTCAAGCTTGCAAACGATTCAGCCGAACACTGCTTAGTTGTACATGTCATCACCTACAATTATCACTGGTATGAAATTCATTCTCATGACCAGTTAAAAGTTGGTGGTGAAATCAGGGTGCACAGTGCACGTCAGAGCAGAATCAAATCTTTGTGGTAGAAGATTCTGACATGTTTGAGAAATTATTATTAAAAACAGAGATCAGTCAGACTTAAGCCAAATGAAATGTTTAGATTTTCATGGCTCTCATCTTTTGATCACTCCTTGAAACACAGTAATCAAATACATTATGCACACGAGGGAAGCTCAGTGCAGCAAAATTATTTATATGTAACAGCAGAATAAGATGTTGTACAGTTATGAAAAGCTCTGCACTAACATGCAGTTCTTAGTTACATGGCAAGTCAGGATGTGGACTGTATTTCTCTATCCTAATGACACAGTGCTAATCACGCTGGCTGTATTAAAAAAAATACCCCAAATTCTCAACTTTCTTAAACTGTCATTAAAAAGAACTCTAATCTGGCAACATTAGGAGCGTTTCATGGTATAATACCAGAGGAGCTGTGAAATCCAGTTATAAACACTGGGAGACAAAAATCACTTTTAATAGAACAGAGTTACTAAAATACTACAAAATGCCAGATCAGACCACTGAATGTAATTATGTGAGAAATCATCACTAATGACTAGTTTACCTGTTTGGCATCTACCAAAAAATAAACAAAAATAAAAATCTCCACATAGTTAGCATGTACTGTAATAAATCACACTGATGAATAATGATAATGATAATAATACAATATCAATAAATAAATACAGCACTTTAAGTACGAAAAACATTTCAAAGTGTGAAATAGCTTAACATATAGCCATGATAAATGTATATACTGTACACTAATGCTATACAAACACAATTTCCAATTCAGATTTTAAGAACTTTTTTAAAATTGAATTTGATCAGGAAAAGTACACAGGAGGTAAACACTGGTTAAAAGGAACTTTCTTTGGCTAATTGTTGCGTCTATAAACCACAGAAAAGAGTGCTAAACATCTATTGTTAGGGGTTCATTTATTTATTTAATCTGACTGTACGAATGTAAGAAAATCCAGCAGTAGTTTTATGCCGAGGACTGAGTGCAGAATTTGTTTAGCATGTTCGCTGCATAAATAAAGCTGTACTTTAAACTGGAGTACATTGGTTTAATATGTAAACCAGAAAATACATTTCTATCTGTCTGAAAACTAACATTTTTGCAAAAAAACATGAAAACTGCCTTGTTTCAGGAATCAGTCAGACGCCTTCAGTCTCGTCTTCATAACTAAAAAAAATTGTATTACTTACATTTTCTCTGTGATTATTTGTAAAATGACTGCGTCGTGGAAAACGACCAGGTTTCTTGTTCATTGTTAAAACTGAAAATCCCATTGGA